TATTTATCCATGCAACAAATTCTTCTTCTATGTACCGTGTTCTTTGAAGACGTTGGCGATCATGGCTCTTCACAATTTATTGCCATTCTCAGCTTTTAATTAATTTTGACTTTTTCTTATTTCTCCTAAATCTTTCATTCATTATACATTGTTTCCCTCTGTCGCTCTTTCCTTCAATCTCTCCTGTGTGTATCAAATTTTTCAAGCCCTCTTTCATCATTTTGTACCATTTCAACTGTCTTTTACTGAAATTAGTTATAAGTAGCCACATTATAACCATGTGTTTTTTAATTAAGTTCACTCAAAGCAAGTGAGTAAAGCCACTAAGACACAAAGGGTTACTGGATGTGAAAGAATCAGAGATGGAAACATTAATATAGAGCGAGACTAAAAGAACAGTAGATAGTAGATAGTGATTGATATTGCATATAGATATTTTCATACGGGGTCTACAGGGAATTTTTGGCCGAGCCTACGGGCTCGGATACCCACATTAAATTCGGCCTCGTGCCACATCTGACCACGTGGGGCAGTTGGTAAATATCCTGCAGTTGGAGATTCGTCTTCAGCTGTGCTGGTCAAACTCTCCTCCTTCGGGCAGAAAGGATCCCCGACGAGGCTGTGTAGAAGGGCAGAGTCTCGCCTCGGGAAACAGTTATTTGAAACCGTTTTAAAACGGGGTCTACGGGGAATTTTTGGCCGAGCCTACGGGCTCGGATACCCCACATTAAATTTGACCTTGTGCCACATCTGACCGAGTGGGGCGGTTGGTAGATATGCTGCAGTTGGAGATTCATTGTGGAATTCCCTTGTCTCACTTCTAGCAGTTGACTATTTCTTCTACGCGCCACTGGCGAATCTTATAGGTGTTGTTCTTGTCCTAAGTATTATCGTTCATTACCAACGTTCGTTTGGTTATTATTTTCAGTAATCTTCCCTAGCTTGCAACACTTAGCTTTTGGAAGACATAATTAACTATTCCATATCCATGTTTTCGCATGTAACCCACCTTATGTAAATTGTACTTGTTTGAGTTTGGTATCCCAATTTCTAATCTGCATGTTCTTCGCTTATAACAATGAAATTATGCGACAGATACTAATTTGACTTATGCGAGACTTAATATGCAAAACAGCGGCTTCTACTTTTCCTCAAATTCAGCTTTCGACATATTTAATGGGAGTGATGTTACGGAACTATATTTTATGACAACGGTACCTCGAAGGCGATCGGTTGGCAAGATGCCAGTTTAAGCAAAGGAACGTGGTTAGGCAAAATTTATGAGGAACAAACTGTAGCATACTTAATAACGCACCAGCAGGCAGAGGCGGTCACATCGATCGACCATCAGTTGAACTGAAAAAGAAAAAATATTCGCATCGAATCAAGTCACTACACATGAACACACACATATAAAAATAAGATGAATGGTCGAGTAAAAATAAAACATATTTGCATTATTCTAAAAAAAAAAAAATGCTCCACCACACGATCTACGCTCCGAAAGTAATGCATGCGTGTAATTTTCTTGGAAACTTTAACAGATACAAGGAGCAATTTATACTAAAATTTTCCCAATACAAGGCTTCAGAGATAGTCAGGGAAGAGGGTTTCTGAATGAAGTGCGTAATACAACCGCTACAGGAGGAAGTAAGAGCTGAAGATTATGAGGATAACGAAGATAGATAACGATCGACTCTTGACTTTAAGAAGTTAAGATTGTAGTTTTCAAGGAAGCATCCTCAGGGGAGTCTGTTCCACAAAGTATAAGTTCTTGGGTAATGCTGGGTGGAAATGAAATGTCGGTGATTCGTTTACAAAGTTCGTTTATATTACTAATATATATATATATATATATATATATATATATATATATATATATATATAAAAATGAAATAATAAAAAAACGAAAGAATATTAATCTACAACCCAGTGTGCCTGAAAATTTTAATTTTTAAATTTTTTTTTGTTCAATATATATATATATATATATATATATATATATATATATGTGTGTGTGTGTGTGTGTGTGTGTGTGTGTGTTATTGAAGTTCCACATCCAGAGGCGACAGTCCTTTTCATGCTAAACATGATTCAAACAGACTGTCCCCTCTGGTTGTTGACTTCAATGTCAATTTTTATATTTACATACGCTCTGTCTTTGGTATTGAGCACTTTAATCCATAAATATAACATAATAAACTATATTTTATCCTATCTTTCTATATATTTATCTATCTGACTGGATAAAGAACATATTGGAAACGTTTATGAATCTAACATGTTTCGCTTTTATTAAAGTTTCATCAGAAAATGAGATATAGGAGTAAATTTACTGGTATTTTTATTTTTTATTTTCATTAGTTGAGCAGACATCACGTGCATCTGACTAACCAAGCATCGTTCATTTGTATAATTTATGAGTGTCAGTGTATCAGAATTCTAGAGAGGAAAACTGGAACAGGAGGTCACCACATGAAGACCGAGCATTTCAACTTAGAGGTAAAGAGATCAATTAGAAAAGATCCAACTTAATCCATAATATCTTTGGCACGCGAGAGACGAGTTTCAGTTATGACAGTCCAAAGAACAGTGAAAAAAGACTTGAAAATGAAATCGTACGTGAAACGTGTGAGGCATCTTTTTGCTCCAGACAGAAGGTTAAAGGTTAGAGGGTGAAGATAATCTCGAATAAGTTGGAAAATTATCCTGGAATAATATACATATATTTGAACTTTATTTCAATCTTTCATGAGCTTCCGATCCTTAGTTATGTTTAAATAATGATGAACATATCATTTTCGTTTATGATCGATTTCATCACGATTCTTCTGTTAAGATTGAAGATTAATTATACTTTCTTATTACTCAAAGTAGAGTAAAATAATGTTATAAAAACATCGGAAATCCAGTAATATATCTTTAATCATTTTTAAGATAAAACGGTTCAGATCTAACAATTGGACTATTTTGCTGTTACAATTATGTCATTATATATTGGACAATTATGTTATTATACTCTTTATATATATATATATATATATATATATATATATATATATATATATATATATATATATACATACCCATGAATTCTTTAGAAATTGCTTTGTTTGTGTTTCGGATACTAAATTGATATGGACTCTGGAAATAAAAACATAATGTGTGAAGGGGATACGATTTCCTTAATAGGGTAAAAAGAACATTGCTTACCGTGAATTTCTTCGAGGCCTAGTGGCAAAACAATGCGCATCAAACTGTAGCTTTACCTACAAAGAAAGACACAGGTTCACTTCTTGGCAGAGTATACTTTACTGTTTTTATTTGGAAATTTCGAGTGCGCAAGCCGTTAGACGTAATGCACATAAATGCGTGTAAATAAAAATGGGACGTCTATTTCAAATAAGAAGTTTCCACTCTTATAACTCTTAGTAATATATATATATATATATATATATATATATATATATATATATATATGTGTGTGTGTGTGTGTGTGTGTGTGTGTGTGTGTAGATATGTAGAAAAAGGGAAAGAACACCTTAGGTAAATAATCCGGGTTCTTTAGTATTTTTGTTTTTCATTAAAAAAAAAACCCATAAAAACAGTGCTCCATACGGAAGTAGAGCTTAAATTATAATTATTTTTCATGTTTCAAAAACAAGATTTCCAAATTTTCGCTTGAGGATGAAACAGGGCTTGATACTTTAATTTAATCTAATTTTAATTATTATATTGAGGTTTTCGGCTCTTGTTTTTGAAACATGAGAACTCTTATGTAGCGAAGGAATCATATTTTTAAAAAAATAATTATAATATATATATATATATATATATATATATATATATATATATAAAATGCATATTTCATTAAATAATATACACAAGTTTTGTTTATTTATTTTAAGTAAGTTCTTTTCAAATTGTCTGATAAGTTTAATCACATTATTGTTGAAAGACGAAAGGAAAACACCATATTGATATATGTTTAAATCCAATCTAAGCTTTCGGCTTACACAAGCCATTATCAAAGATGACAATTTCAATAAATCAAACAATAACGGACGAAACAACAATGATAGTCCGCCCTTGCTGCATGAAAATTTCAAGTAGCGACAAACCCGTATATACGAGACGCGGAAGCGAAAATCGCGTCGCAGCTCGTGACGCCACATATGACCACGCGAGAGTGTTTTTCGTGGTCAGAAGTATTAAGTATGGGATGCCGTTGGTATAAACCAACTGCTTCTGTTATCAATTATAGGTATTTAAGGATATTTGTGGAGACTTCATAGTTTATTTTGTCCAGGTTAGGTTTCAACTGTTTTATGTATAAAGCTTCAAGAATTTTCAATTTTTGTTTATTGTTAATGTGTTTAAGTATAATTGTGTTGTCAACAAAGATTTTCCGTAATTGAGTACGCGGACAGGCATGTTGTTTTAAATGTCTAAAAATGTTAGAGTTATCATTTAAATGTAGAGTCAAGCGCTGAGTTTTAATGAAACATGCATTAATGAAAAATTGTTGCCTAAATATACACAATATATATATATATATATATATATATGTGTGTGTGTGTGTGTGTGCGTGTGTGTGTGTGTGTGTGTGTGTGTGTGTGTGTGTGTGTGTTCGTGTTCTTGTGTGTATCCGTCAAGGTAGTCATGGTATCACCACAGTGAAATCTAGAAAAAAAAATTCCTGTAAATATCGCACCAGTGTCAGATGAATGTGTGGCTGGCACAAAACTCCATTCATTTTAGAATGAGAAACCAAATAGGCATATAAAAGACAACAATTTTAGATTTATCGTCCTAAGCACCGACGGCAGTTTTATTTTATTTTTTTTTGTTCAAGAACTTTGCTAAGTCAATTCATGCTTTGAATTTATGGCGGCACGGTTCTACCAGGAAACAAAAAAAAAAAAAAAAAAAAAAGAAAATAGAAAAAACAGATATATACCTTGTTATCATAAAGTCGCAATTAACATTAAGGTACCATGTTATAAAACTATAGAAGAAGAAGAAGAGGGAGAGAAGAAGAAGAAGAAGAAGAAGAAGTAGCAGAAGAAAAGGAAAAGATGTAGAAGAAGAAGAAGAAGAAGAAGAAGAAGAAGAAAAGAGGGAAAGAAGAAGAACAAGGGAAAAAAAGAACGGGGAAAAAAGAAAGAAGAAGTAGAAGCTGAAGAAGAGGGAAGGAAGAAGACGAGGGAGAGAAGAAGGAGAAGAAGAGGAAAAAGAAGAAGAAGAAGGAATGAAGTTAAAGAAGAAGAAGAAGTAGCAGAAGAAAAGGAAAAGAAGTAGAAGATGAAAAAGAAGAAAAAGAGGGAAAGAAGAAAAACAGAGGGAAAGAAGAAGAACAGGGAAAAAGGAAAGAAGAAGTAGAAGCTGAAGAAGAGGGAAGGAAGAAGAGGAGGGAGAGGAGAAGAAGAAGAAGAGGAAAAAGAAGAAGGAGAAGGAAAGAAGTTAAAGAAGAAGAAGAAGCAGAAGAAAAGAAAAGAAGTAGAAGAAGAAGTAAAAAAAATGAGGCAAAGAAGATGAAGAACAAGGAAAGAGGAAAGAAGAAGTAGATGCTGAAAGAAGAGGGAAGGAAGAAGACGAGGGAGAGAAGAAGGAGAAGAAGAGGAAAAAAGAAGAAGAAGGAAAGAAGTTAAAGAAGAAGAAGAAGCAGCGACAGAAGAAAAAGAAAAGAAGTAGAAGAAGAAAAAGAGGAAAAGAAGAAGAAGAACGGGGGAAAGAAGAAGAACAGGGAAAGAGGAAAGAAGTAGTAAAAGCTGAAGAAGAGGGAAGGAAGAAGAGTGAAAGAAGAAAAAGAAGAGGAAAATAAGAAGTAGAAGAAGGAGAAGAGGGAAAGAAGAAAAAGATGACGAAGAAGAGGGAAAGAAGAAGAAAAGAGGGAAAGAAGTAGTAGAAGAAGAAGGAAAGAAAAAAAGAGGAAGAAGAAGAAGAAGAAGAAGAAGAAGAAGAAGAAGAAGAAGAAGAAGAACAACAACAACAACAACAACTAACATGATTAGGTAAAAAGAATGACAAAATATGAAGAAAGTTTTCGAAGAAACGAAATGTAGAACTGGAAGAAGATGAAGAGAAAGAAGAAGAAAAAAAGGAGAAGATGTGGAAGAAAAAGAAAGATGTGCAAAATAAAGAAAAGAAAGTAAAATGAATAAAGATAAAGCAAAAAGAAGGAAAAAAAAATCTAAGCGCCATAAGGAACGGAACAGGACGACATGATATCGTAAGTCAATTGTAATGGAAAGTGAAAAGAAATCTGGACAAAATTTTCATCACATAAATCACAAGACGACAGCGGAGATAGATTGGCAAGTTGAGAAGTTATCGAAAGAGTTAAGACAGAACTACAACGGATAGAATAACAAAAAATAGAAGGAGAGAAGGGAAGTTAAATCTGTGATGGTGGATGGGAGTATTTAAAACATTGTTGTTCACAACGAAACAAAAACATTAGTAGTAACATCTGTTCAAGATTCTTCCATGCGCCGTGGCTCTCCCCAATTTCCTGTCATTTGTAGCTCTTAATAAATTTTGTCTTTTTGTTATTTCTCTTAAACCTTGTTCCGCCATTCATTTACTCAAGCTCACTAGGGAGGTTCTGTGTAGTTTTCCTTTATTCATATTTTCTTCAACCAGTATCATATTTTCCAAGCCGTCTTCCCTCTTTATGTATCCGTGATATTTCAACTGGTTCTTCCTGATATTAAGTATAAGTAGCCATTTTGTTGTCATTGTCTCTGGAACTTCGACGTTGCTCACATGTTTGGTAGATGGTATCCTCAACATCCTTCAGTAGAACGAAATTTCTTTTTCAAGTCTCTTCCCCATCTGTGAGGTGACTGTCTAGCATTCACTGTCATATAGAGGACTGATATTACGTAACAGTTCATTACTTTCTTCCTTAACTTTGTGTTAATCAACTTTATCACGTGCAAGGCCAGTCAGACACAATTGGTTACTGGGTGTGAAAGAGTTAAGAACAGAAACATCACTAAGAAGTTGAAAACAAAAGCAATCAGGAGAAAGATAGTGATTAACATTGCATTTAATTTTTTGCAGATTAAAGTTGGCTGGAAATCATAGAGCAGGAATGGAGTTCCACAAGCGATAAGTGTGAAAGAAGAAATTGTTAGCATAGATCTTATGCAGTTACATCTAACCGCTTCAACTATAAATTGATGAAATCTCGACGCGTGTCTAGTTCTTCGCTTAAATTTATCAAAAGGTTCGTCGTTGTTTACGTGGTTTGCATGGAACCGGAAGTGAGTGTCACAAGCGAGAAGTGCGAGAAAAGGAACTGCATAAAATATACGGTTACATCTAGACAATATGACTGTAAATTAGTGAGACCTCGTCGCTAATCAAAGTACTGCGCTTAGTACCAAGCGTCTAGACACCGTAAAGAAGAGCTAATCAGAACAATTAGATGAAAGTATTTATAGAAAAGGAAAAGAGAGTGAACGATACAGCGGTAAGAAAATGACTGAAACCTAGCCGCCAGATCAAGGCCAATAAATCTGCTGACCCTTCCTTGAATTTTATCAAGGATCTCTAGATAAATAGCAGAAGCACTTGGTAATATATGGCAGCATATTCAAAGTGTGGAAGAATGGTAGACTTATGGATATATAAAATAGATTCTGCAGAGAAAAATTGTTTAACGCGACACAGTGAATGAATTCTTTGAGTAGGTGACATGTTAATGAATTGAATATAGTCCTTCCACTTCATGTCAGCCGACAACGTTAGCATGAGAAAGCACAATGAGTTGTTACATAATGCTTTGCTTAGCTTTTGGAAGGCATCTTTCGTTATCTCAGTTCGCTTTTCTTTCCCATATATTTAAATGTACTCGTTTGATTTTGATATCTCCACTGTGCATGTTAGGCATTTTTTTTTACTAACAACCATGCATTCGGTCTTCTTGCAATTGATCTTTCTTATGACTTTCCTTCACAAACTTCTCTGGGAGTTCTTGTAGTTTCCTTTCTATGATTCCTATAATGCCGCCAATTATGAATCGTTTCCTATATAGGTTGAATAAGCCCGGTGAGTAGACATATCCTTGTCTTACGCCTCTTTCTATTTTTATATATTTACTGAATCCATTTTCTATACGTAGGTAGGCGGTTTGCTGCCAGTATAGATTCTGGATAATTTTAATATTATTTTCAAATATGCCATGGTTACCTAGCAGTTCAAACATATCTTTGTGACGTATTTTATCAACCTTTAAAACACAGGTAAACATTATTCTGCATTTGTATTACCCTTTCTAGTATAATTCTGGGCATAAATATAACATTACTTGTTCCAGTCTTTTTAACGAACCAGGATTGATCTTGTCCTATTTCTATTTTTATTCTTCTCCTCGCTCTGATCATCAGGATGATAAATTTTGTTATATGGGTCATTAGGCTGATTGTCAGATAGAATTCACATCTGTTCGCACTTGGCTTCTTAGGCAGTGCTATGAAAATAGATCTACTTAGGTCTTCAGGTATATCACCACTGTGGTTGATTTCATTTATTATGTCTGTAATCTTGTCATTGCCGAAATCAAGGCTGCCAGCATCTCTATTTCAATTCCGTCTAGTCCCGCTTTTGCTTTGTTTGTATCGTTGATGAGAAAAAAAAGTGATGTTGAAGATGAATAAAAAATGAGACAAGGCCAAAGAAAGATAAGAGAAAAAAATAAAAAAAGAAAGAATAGTCATACATAATAAAGGAAATAAAAAAGTAAAAAAAAGGGGGGGAACTAGACGAAGACGCAAAAAAAAAAAAAAAAAATGGAATAAAGTCGAACAAAGAAAGGCAGAAAGACAGACAAGCCATGGAGTGTTGTTCATGATGACGGTCGTCTTTGAGTATAGAATCCAGAGGTTAGCAGTGAATATTTCGAAGACAGTAGGGAAGCGTAGTTCAGGTTAGCAGTGGATATTTTGGTAAAAGTAGCAGAGCGTAGTTCGTCCTTCTGTTTCTCTTCGCCTGACAAGCAGGCACTGGACATTCGGATAGAGTAAACAAAATGGCCGACTTTATACACGACGGATTGAATATTCTACGTCTTCTGATTGGTTAACCTTCTCTTGGTGGACTATAAAATGAGTCAAGTCATTTTGTCTGGCTCACTAGTACATATATGCCAAAAAACTTCAACATGGAGAAGAAAGGCATGTAATACAATGCTCCAGAGGCACTCAAATTAGAGGCTACAACGGAGTATGATATATCGAATGCAAAATGTTGGCTGCTTGAAGAGGTTTAAATTTAGTGATTTGGGAAGCATCATTTGGGGAGTCTTTCCTACAATTTAACATTTTTGGGGAAGAAGCTGAGTTTGAAATGAATTACAGTGTATACAAAAAATAATAAAACGTGTGTGTATGTGTAATAACAATGTTAGTTGTCCTCATGTTTATTTGAGGACGTTTTTATGTAACACCATTTGCCGTGGTGGTAACACACAGGAACAAAACTGGCCATAATATAATTATAATTAAAAAAAAAGAACATAATTATTTACATAGGAAATAATTCGAGGGAATTCTGATAAATCTCTTACCTTCTATAAAAAAAAAACACGTCAAGCACACTATATTACTTCAGCAGCATTTATAAATTCCATACTTGAAGTATCCGAAATAAGTCTACCTACTAGTACAACTAAACTAGAATCCCGATTCACTTACTAACATAAATTTCACACACGAACGTTACTATACAAGGCAAAATTCACGCGAAGTTTACTTAACGAATGGAAAACAAATACAAAAATGAAAAATACCAATTTTTTCTTTCTGTTCTTTTTTCTTCGTATCTCATTCTATGATGATATTTTAATAAAAGTGAAACATGTTAGATTTGTGAACGTTTCCTATTTGGTCCTTAGCCTATCATATATTTGTGGATGGCTTCCTTAAACCAAAACAAAGATTAATCTCCATTTATACATATCTTTGCAAATCCTTCATTTTTGAGATATTAAATTTAAAGAAAGCTTACGGTAGATAGCGCAGTGTTGCCATAGGACTATGTTACATTTGTCATTCGTGTATATTTCTGGTTAGCCTGTCTTCAACGTTTAACGTGTGTAATAGGGAGTTAACTGAGAGTTGTTCCGTTTAACAATGGCAACATATTCATATCGTCAACAGGTAGTTATAATTTTTACATACGGCCGCGCGAATAGTAATGGGCGCGAGGTTTCCCGATTGAAGGCAGCCGAGTCACCCAACCTTTACTGCTGTTTATCGTCGCGTTGTTGAGACAGGATCCGTGGCACCACAAACTGAGGATCGCAGAAAACCGAGATCCACTTGTACGCCTAAATACGAAGAACACAATCTACAGACTGTCGGAGACGATCCAGGTAACTGCACGCGTCAAGTGACCCTAGAATCTCGTACATCTTATAGTATTGGATGAAGGGCACTTCAAGAGCAGTTCCTGTATCCGTATCATTTGTAACGTGTGCAGGGTCTTTTGCCATCTGATCACTCACCACGGGAGAAAATTTGCCGTAGTTTGTTGCACAAACTTCCGATCCATCTCTTCAGTTTTGTTTACGGATGAGGCAACATTTGGAAGAGATGGAATAAAAAAATTACACAAACAACATAAACACCAGCATCAGTTTACGATTTATGTGTGGGCTGGAATTGTAAGTGACTCTCTGGTAAATCCATATGTTTTCCAAGCACGTCTTACAGGAGCTGTCTACGGGGATTTTATTTCGAACACACTTCCAGACCTGCTAGAGGATGTACACCTGCTAATAGGAAGACGCATGTGGTTCATGCATGATGGGGCGCCACCCATACTTTAGTCACATCGATCACGATTCACTGGCTGACATTTACCATGAAATATGGATGAGGGGGACCGGTTCCATGGCTTGCATGTTTCCCCAACCGCAATCCTTTGGATTTTTATCTGTGTGGCACCTAAAACATTTGGTTTATGCAAAAGACATTAATAATGCAGAGAAATTTAATTAACGTGTCATGTGGCCCTGCAAGACTATTCGACACCGTGTGGAAGTATTTAAAAGAGTCCGCCAGTCAATGATCCGACGGGTGCATGCGTGTGTAGAAACAAACAAAGGACATTTGTTACGAGTAGCTTTGTTGAGGCACAAAGACATCCTATCGGTCACAAGTTTGAATGGACATTTTACCTTGTTTTCGTGTCAGGAACCTGTTTCCAAAGTTTGTAAAAATAATTTTGATACACCATATATAACGCAAAGTGAATGCTGGTAATAAACGAAATTTGTTCCTAATAGTTTGATACATTGTTCGATATAACTCTGAATTTCATGCAAATGACAATCGTCAGGCACAAATTTAAATTTTGTTCCTCACCATTTAGTACAAGCTAACTGACTCGGGGTTGAAAAAGACGATGAGGGACAATGTTTTACTACCCTCATGTACCCTTAATACTCACACACACATATAGGCGTAAATATATATATATATATATATATATATATATATATATATATATATATAGATAGATAGATAGATAGATAGATAGATTGGATAGGTTGTCCAGAAAATCCTGAATCACTTAGGAAGCGGAAAGGAAATAGCAAAATTTTATGAACCAAAAGCGGCATAATTTAGGTTAGCCAGAAACGTTCTTACTTTTGGGACTTCCAGTATCCGATGAGAAGTGGGTGTACTTGTTTAATCCCGATCGGGTAGAGGAAATGGGTTCAACTCAGTCAGGGGTCAGAAACCTACGTCACGCGTGCAACACGTGGCACGCCAAGCAATTTTCAATGACACGCAGCCGAAAATGACATCACGAAGACCGAAGTAATAACTACTAAAACGCAAAGAAGATATTTCGCTGTTTCAATTTTAATATATATTAAAATATATATAGTATATATTGCTATATAAAATATATTGTAGGACAGCTATATTGACCTTGACTTGTATAAAAATACGTATGCTGTTGACACATGTGAATGATATTAAAACCCTAAGTCGATACATAGTTAGCAAAAGGTAGCTGACCCCTGTGCTAAGTGACCAACCGGCATCTGTTCCACAATGGAATTGGTTTGACAAGAAAGTCATGATCCCTGTCTGGTGAAATTTCCAAGAACTGAATTTCGAGCTTGTTCCACACGATCGCGTCATCAAAGCTAAAGTGTGTTTCCAGTAGCTAGACCGCATGTACCACAAACTAAAAAGGCATATATTGCTTTGGTCAATCGACCAAAACAATGCGAGGCGACACACTGCTAGGTTGACTCAGGAGAACTTCAGATGGACCGTGTTGAGATTCTTACACATCAATCATTCAGTCCCAATGCTGCTCCAAGTGACATTGACCTATTTCCTTAATGGCATACTTTTCCCTGATAAATGATTCAACACTTTTGATGAAGTGAAGGAAGCTTGTTTACAGTTTTTATTCAAAGCCAGCGGACTGGTATCTGGGAAAGATTCAGATTATCGCTGAAATTTTGATGTTTTCTTTCCAGTTTTTAAGTGAGTCAGAACTTTTTGACCAAACCAATATATATATATATATATATATATATATATATATATATATATATATATATATATATATATGTGTGTGTGTGTGTGTGTATAAATACCGGGTGCAACAGCAAAATTGTCCAAATCGTGTAGCCGCATGGGATAGTTGTCACCCGACAAAGTTTTTAATACCTAAACAACCACTAAACAAATTGAATTTCTTTTTTCTAAATTTTCAGACATTTATCCATCTTGATGCCATTTTTCGTAAGAATCACAGAAAAAAACCCTTTGAGTTATTCAGCTAGAATGAGAACAGGTTAAAATCATTTTTGTGTCAGACCCACGATGTCGTCTCAACTAAGCAATGGTGAGTGAAAAAGATCATTCAAGCCTTCAGTAATGTTACCGACATTCATACTCTGACATCCATCTTCAAATTAGAATAGTTGCTTTGTGTCTAACAAGCGATATTGATCAGCTGTGTATAAAGTTTTTCCTAAAAGGAAACACTTTGCATTGACTCATGCCATCTGAGCAAGCCTTTTACAATTACCAATTATAGAAAAACATTTGGACTAACAAAGGTTTTATGAACATCTCTTTACAATGTAAAATGGCATCGACAAAAAGCATTAGATTTTTCTCGGAATTTGAGCACAAAAAAACATTTACAGATATACATTTTCTGCTAATGACCTTACCTGTTATTTCCAAAAGAATTTGTTTGAAAAGAGAATGTTAATGCTTGCTGTAGATATTTTTTTTTTACATTCCTCTAACCAAAAATAATATCCGAATATATGGGATGTAACAGTGAAATTCTTCAAATCATGTAACAGCCTAATTATCCATCCCACAAAATGTTTCATATCTAAAAAAAAAAACAAAAAAAAAAAACAAAACACTAAACCAATTGCTTTTATTTTTTTCCATAAAAAGTTTAGACATCTTAACATCATTTTTCGTAAGAATCACTAAAATGTTATTCTGCTAAAAAAGAAGGGTAAATTGGTTTGTTTCAGACCCACTCTCTCCCCAACTGAGCAATAGTGAGAGGAAAAAGATCATTCAGGTACCAACACTCATACTCTGTCTACCATCTTCAAAGTCCACCCAAGAACCATCAAGACAACGGTGAATAAGTTTAAAAATAGAGGGATCAGGAGGTCAAAACAGGGCTCATCATTTCAACTTAGAGCTAAATACATTCTTAATGTTCAAAGTAGAATTCAAGTCTTCCCCTCCAGCTATGGGTAATTAGTAAGACAGATTGGGTTCTACAGCCTTGGGTGTTAACAGATCTAGGAGAAGGAAAAACTGAATTAAAATGTGTATGTAGCACTGGCGAGGCATATATTATGAAATTAAGGAAAGTATTGTTCGCATTGTATCGATGATTTTGACAACGGTCAATTCTTTTTAACATATAAACAATTTGTAAAAAACATCTTTTGCTATATGATTGGATTTCAGCACCTTTCGCCAAAGCAAAATTCAGTATTTAATTATTGAATTTTGTTTCTTTGCAGCGAATATATGGTTTGTTCAGCCCTTAACTGTATTAGGGGGAGCCGCAAATGTCATTTTGTAAACGTGTTGATAACTTCAATTTACGTTGCAGTTACTAGAACATTTGAAAATCATTTAAGTTTCTTTTACTTGAATTACATGGATTAAAAAAATTAAGCCTTGTAAAACAAGTCAGTTTACGGGGAAACCAAAAGGAAAAATGTTTTTCGAATTCTCATTTAGAACAATTTACTTTTTGTCGTTGTAAAGATAACATAGAGTCGAAATTTATTAAGAGCCACAAAAGATCGCCAACGTTATGAAGAAGAAGTAGAAGAAGAAGAAGAACAACAACAACAAGGAGGAGGAGGAGGAGCAGGAAGAAGAAGAAGAAGAAGAAGGAGGAGGAGACGAAGAAAAATGACGAGGAGGAGAGAAGAAGAAGAAGAGGAAAGAGGAGGAGGAAGAGGAGGAAGAAGAAGAAGATGGAGGAGGAGAAGAAAAAGGATGAGGAGGAGAGAAGAAGAAGGAGGAGGAAGAAGAAGGAGGAGGAGGAGGAGGAAGAAGAAGGTGGTGGAGGAGGAGAAAAAGGAGGAGGATGAGGAGATGAGGAGGAGATGAAGAAGAAGAAGATTCTATAATGCAGAATTCAACATCGCCTTCTTTACACACATATACTGTGTCCATCTGTTAGAATTTAACAACAAAAAAGCGGGTTGGCAGCTATCTTCTGCAGTTTGGAGAAATATACTTGCTTTGAAGGTGGCGACAAACTTTGGAATTACCCTTTCCCATTAGCTTCTTGAACACTAACAGCAGAATTACAGCGAAGAATACGTGAATTGGAAATTCTACTGATCTATAGTGGAGATCTCATTACAAATAACGAAGTGCCAGTAACCGTCAGACGAGAAGCATGCTCGCTGGGCGACCTCATATACACTGTCAAGCTTAGAAATTTGAAATGATATAGCCAGGTCATAAGAGACAAAAGACCTTCCACCACCATCCTGCATGGTTCATTCTTCGGCAAAAGTGGCAAATAAAAGAAGAAATAAGCGAACAACGTTATTGATTGAACTGGAAGAGACTCAGTCCGAAACGTATTGAGGGAGCTGGTCACGTGCTCAGCTGCGAGGCGACACTAGGACCATAGCTGGTTTTGGGATTATGTTGAAGATGTGCCGAATTGATGCTCTTACAGGCAGAATGAATTTTATATGTAGATTCAGAAGGTCGAATTTTAAAGCTGTAAAGGTCTGAACTGGTAGAACTAAAAAATGAATTTGGTTGGGTCATTTTTGTTTAACGGCATAACGACATCTATATTTAATGCTGAAATGGAAATAATTTGTACGCAATTTTATTTATATTATTAAAAAAATTTTTTTTGGAAATAAAGGGTTACAGTGAAAAAAGTTTTATTAATTAACCCATAGCTGGGGGAAGAAGAGATGGATTCATATCTTTCTCAAGGGTATTTGTGCGTAAGTGAATATAACGAACCCAACTGGAATTGAACTCGGCTCTCTGATTAACAATTCCGATCTATTATCCATTAAACCACACGCAGGTTCAAGCTTACAGTACCTGGTATTCCCAAGCGGTCACCTATCCAGCTACTGACTGGTCTTGTCGTTGCTTAACTTCGGTGATCTTAGGGGAACCGGTGTTTCAACGTGATAAGGCCGTAAGTCTAGAAAGTGGAACTCATCTGAACATATGCCATGGAAATAGCGATAGAATCGTGATAGGCTGTGAGAATGTGGTTGTAGGGCGGAATATGAATAAACCGCTCGAGGTCAGGCAAGCGCTTTTGAACTCTATCAAGTGAGGCTTGTGCGGTTCTAGCCCAAACATGACAGCAGTACCCCATTTTTGGGTGTCTAATCTAACTCTCTACAGATAAAGCATAGTAGTAGTCATGTACTTTCTGGAGTGGTACAAGAAACCAACCATTTTTCCAGTATATTCAACGATAGTTCTGTATATAGTGGTTTTCTGAGCAAAGCTTAGACGTGGCACAAGGCCGAAAATATGGAGCAGCAGATAGCTAGAGAAACTTATGAAGTGATGTTTCTGTATATGGTGTTTTTTCTGAGCGCAGGTTAGATGTAGCACAACGTAGAAACTCTGGGTAACCCAATGAAATTGTTTTTCTAAACGAAACTTAGACGTGGCACAAGGCCGAGAATATGGAGCATCATATGACGAAACAAGCTTACGAAGCGATGGGTCTATATATAATATTTCTACTTGAGGTCTGGAGTGAACGTAAGTTCCAATAGACGTTCTAAACATGGAGCCTTGTTCAAAGTGAAATCGTTCATCTTGACGCGAAAATGGTCATCGTCAGATCGATGATGAAGAAATTTTTGCAAGCTTCGATGTATTGAAAGTTACAAGCCAGTTTTTATTCTTCAACCATTGAGTTGTTAGAGAGAGGCCAGCTAAGAAATCAGGTGCTATGCTCTGAACATCTAGATTTTGGGAACTACTTTCGTAAACTTTGGTATCATCAGCATATATGTTAACCAATAACATGAGAGGCGGATCGTTAATTTTTTTTTTTTTATAAAAAAAGCACATATACGGTAGGGCTAACAAGCGAACCTTGAATGACTCCATCATTGAGCTCATATGTTTCTGATGACGATTGAAGATTAGGAAAGCAGGATAAATAGTGAATAACCTACTTAACGACCTTGTATAAATGGCTAGAAGAACAGTGATAAAAACAAGAGGAATTGTAAAGCGTCAAAACTTTCGTAGAGTGGCACGCAAAAAGGAAGCTGTGGAGAACCATGACCTCGCACTTTCTGAAAGGATATGGTAAATAAAAGAAAGCAGACCGATTCTTTGATACATAGAGTAAAATTTTACTGTCAATGTTTGTTATTTAGTTGGAATTTGGAGGCTTGTATGTTATTCATGATTAAAAGCTAACGCCCGTAATTTTAAAGTACAGAAGACTAAAAATAAAAATAGATTAAACTGCATTGTTTTTTACTCGTCGACGGGAATTTTTCATTCTGTTGTTTCATCGATTCGTTTACTACGGCACATCAAACTTTTGCAGGTTATTTAAAGCCAGAAAATATTACTAAATTTTAAGCTTTTTTGGCGGGAGATAATAATCACTTGTTTAGTGATACAACTTTTACCAATAAACCCATAGCTATGGAAAACGTTGTGAATTTATAGCGTTTCCAAGGGTATTTGCGCCTAAGTGAATATAACGACATCGGTTGTAATTGAAACTCTACTCTTCGATTAACAATTCCGAGCCATTATCCATTACACCACCCGCTCTTCCAAGCTTACATTATTTGGTACTGCGAAACGGTGACCAAATGTATGCAATATCGTTAACTTTGGAAATAATTGATTTGATTTACTTTTATGGTGACTTATAAAGCCTTCGTTGTTTATTTGAAATTGAAAACTATTTTGTATTCTAAGAATATTATTATTTTAAAATTTTTTCTTGAGATAATAATGATTTAGTTTTACAATTTACACAACAAAGAATTCTGGATTTTGACTCGACTTACGGAGTCACATTTTCGCGGTTCAAACACATCTGACGTATAATAAAAATATAAATAAAAGTACGAACTTGAGAATGTAACAGATTTTCAACAAAAAAAAAAAACAAAAAAAAGTACAACAGCGTATATCTGATTTTAGATGCATATATATATATATATATATATATATATATATATATATATATATATATATATATTAAACCTAAAGAGCCAGACAAACCTACAAAAGCTTCACCTACGCGTAGGTGAAACCTTCGTAGGTTTGTCTGGCTCTTTAGGTTTAATTAGGTTTGCTCTGCTTTAGCGTATTTAGTTATTTTACTTACTGGTATCGGGTTTTTTTTTTTGGACTTTGGACTTGCATATGCTAGACGATTATTTTCGGCTGACGTACATGTTCTTTGTTCTTTCTTTTTTTGTATCTTTTTCCCTTTGGTATTGGTTTGGTTATTTGCAAATCAAGATACCGAAGGTTTTCCGGACGAGTATAATTTCTTATATTTATAAGATTAGTATATATATATATATATATATATATATATATATATATATATATATATATATATATATATATATATATATATATATATATATATATATATATATATATATATATATGTCCTTTTTTTTATTTTATTGTATTCTCCAGATTTCCAACGCTGTCAAATCTGACAGAGATTGCTTAGTCATGATTTGAACAACTGAATTACTCATCTAAAAGAGATTCCAGTCTGACACTTTCAGCTTCCGGGGAGATTTTAATGTTAATACCCAAATCAAATAGATTCGACGACAGATTGTAAATAACAAACTATTCTAGATTACTCAATATTAACTTGTGAAATTCCTTGGAATTGAATATGAAAATAAGAAATGTAAACAGCCTTTTACATTTATATACTCGAAAACAGAAATTAAGTTCCGCCAAATATATATATTAAAAAAATCAAACATTAAACCATAAAAAAAACAAAAACTTATATTGCTTTTTAAGCCAATAAAATTACAAGTAAGAAAAGAAGAGTTTCTTCCGGGTCCAGATGACTGTGTGCAGAAAGACACAGGACTTTAGTTGTAGTAGTTATTTCCCGTTTGTAAATCATTGATTATTTTTTGCGTGTTATCATTTTATTATTATGGCTGTGTGGTCAGAACGATTCTTTCTGACCATGGGACATGTTCAAACCTCATCATGGTCGATTTGTTAGTGTAAAGTATTGTTATAAAGTACCAGAAAATATTTCACGGTTTGAGCCAAGCTAAGACTTGTGAGTAAAATTGTGTAGACTGAATTGTTCGGAAGACGCCGATGGCTGTACAAGCACGAAGTCCCAAGTCACCGTGACCGAGGCTTTGAGTGTATTGGCCATGCTCAAAATGTTGATCACACGACAGATGATGCGATCCCTTCCCGGAAGTGTAACTAAAACTAAGATTTAATCAGGATAATTGCAGTACAAACCACAGTTGTGCTCTGTGTGTGTTGAAAAAACATAAATGTGCCTGATCGGGTGTCTACAACAGGGATTGGCTTGCTGAAGTATCAAATGTGCTTGATCGGAGCCGTCGTGTAGACGGCTATTAATAGGATAACGTTATTTTGTGTATATTGGTTACATTCCCCTATTTAATAACATTAATTATTTTCCATAAATTAATTTATTATCAACCACCATTTTTCAGCATGACATATCTACTTTTCATTCGTTCGTTTATTCACAATAGGTTTTCCATAAACTGCTCTAATATTTTATTTGTGTTTAAATCGCATTGTTACATTTCTAACATCAAATACTCCTAATATATTTTTTAATCATTTCACCACAAACAAGGTGATAAAGCCACACAGACACAAGGTATTACTGAGAATGAAAGAAACAAGCGAGAAATGAAAGTGAAAAAATTATTAGCATAGACGTTACGGTTCAATCTAGCAATTTCAAAAGTTAAATGATTTGTCCGCGTTGCCAATCTAGTGTTACGTAAATGAAATAAAATCTAGATTCGACAGAGGAAAACGTATCAGAACAATTACCATGAAAATATTTATAGAAAAGGCATGGGAAAAGCTATTTTACGGTCTTGGAAAAGAGAATGAAACGGAGATGCCAGGTTAGTAACGATAATGTTGCAGATACCTCTTTCGATTTGGTCAAGAACCACTAGGCCTATAGCAGAAGCAAAAGCACCAGACCAGATGCAGCAGCTATATTAAATGCACGGACGAATGGTAGACTTATATATGTTCTCTGTCAAGAAAAATGTATATACAAAGAATATTGTTTCTTTATATACAATTGTAATGTTATCATCCATAAAATCCACTATGATTATTTTGACTCCCGCAACGCCATTTACAGTGAAACAGAAAAAAAAGAACATTTCGTCTAATTATGAAACAGCATTAGTCAGCTTTTGCACAATGGTTCACCTAAGACAGTGATGGCTCTAGGATTGCTGGCACCACGGGCAAGCAGAACATCAGCGCCCTTACATATATATGATTTACAAGAAGAAAAACTGAAAATGTGGAATAACGGGTTTATTAAAATATGCAACTTAATACAAGTAAAAGAAAATATTCATTACCCAACCTAAAACATTTTTCTAACCTTTAGATCTGCAAATATTTTCAGGATACTTTTTACACTTATCTTCTTGATATGATCATTTTCTATTGAGAAGAATTTTATCTGAATTGAGTCATGTATGGCCGCAAATATATTTTAAGTTTTACTTTTGGAAGATCCCAAACATATGACATGGCGGCATGATGACGCTCTTGTCCTTAATGGTGACCCGAGTGACTGCCGGCGTTGCCAGTACCTTGAGCAGGCCTTTTCCAAGAGCCACTCCAAGTAAAGGGTCACTGAACAAGGTATTTTATGGACGTAAGAAGAGCAGTTTATGAGGCCATTAAAGATAGATAACGGTTGACCAAAGACTTAAACAGGTTAAGATTGTTTTGATCCGGGGAGCACCATCTCGGGAGTCTGTTTCACAAAGAAGCAACGTTTGGTAAAAATTTGTCGAAGTGGAACTTCTTCCTTATTAACGGAATACGAAGGGAATGAAGATGATGCGACCTTGTGTGCGTGGTATGGTATTTCCGAGCTGTAAAAGTATGCAGATTTTTCAGCGCG